CACACAAATTCCACACTTTTCATCAATTGGACACATCATCTGAATTAATTATTTATTTCACATATTATATTTATTGTATAAATATCTAACAGATGGATGGTGCAGCCATGCTTAACTTTGGGATAGAGCACCAAGAAAAGTTACCGCTAATAAGATCACACGAGTCTGTATATTGAATTTAACTATGTTTTGTTATATTCAGAGTCATTGAATGCATAGAATTCTCTACACCACAGGCACCTATTGGATGAGATTATTCTTTTTGTTTTGTTGAACAATTAGCCTTGGTACATGAAACTCATTTGACTGCAAGCAGAAGTATAACCCCCATCTATAACTAGATTGTGCCCTGTTATAAATCCTGCATCATCGCTTGCTAGAAACAGGACACCCTGTGCAACATCTTCGAAACTCCCACATCTCCCCTTAATAAGGCTGCCTCTTTCCGCCACAATCTTACCAACATCCTCCGGTTTCAAATCTGCATTCCCAAGGAACTTTCTGAAGCCAGTCATGAGCATCTCGGAGGGCACCCCATGGGGTGAAATGCAATTCACGCGTATGCCATGTACCCCGAGCTCACATGCTGTGCTCCTGGCTAGACCAAGAATGGCCTCTTTTGACAATGTATAGGCATGGGCTGCCAGGCCTCCCATGATGGCTGCAGAGCTTGATGAACATATTATGGCACCGCCTNNTGATGAACATATTATGGCACCGCCTCTTTTAGCCTCGATCATTGCACGAGCAGCATGTTTGATTCCGTGTACTACTCCGTTCAAATTTATATCTATCAACGCCCTCAGATCATCCATTTTGAGGTTCGTTATGCTCCCTTCTGGTCCTGCTACGCCAGCGTTGTTGAACATGATGTCTATTCGCCCTTTCCATTTTAATGCAAATTGAATTGCATGTTCAACATCGTATTCTTTCGAGACATCACAGTGTACGTATCGGCCTCCAATTAGATCGGCTAGTTTTGCCCCTAATTCATCTAGTATGTCAGCTATTATGACATAAGCTCCATTTTCGGCCAACAATTTCGACGTGGCAGCCCCGATTCCTCTTGCACCACCAGTTATAACAGCAACTTTGCCAATTAATCTTTACCAAAACAAAGAACAAAAAAAGAATCAGACATTCGATTATATACAAAAGATTTCTCGAAAATATTTATATTTCCATGTTATAGTATAAATACCAACCTCTTCGAGGACATCCTCTGAGCCGTTTCACCATTTGAAACCATCTGATTTTGCAAGAAGTTTAGCAGAAATTCTTGTACTATATATAGCACTACCAGATGAAAAATGCTAGTAAAGTGATTTCGGTAGTTCTTTGGAGGGTCATTCTTTAGTGCTGCGCATTCTTTTCATTTACACAGCTAATTTCTAACTGCAAAGATAGCTACTAGTATCTTGGCATTGTTTTTGTGCATGAAAATATGAGAACAAATTGGAATATATAAAGAGAAAATTGAAATTCAATAGCCCAATTGTTAGAAACTATGAACTAAAATATAATTGAGATGCAATGCTGATTTTTGGTTCTGTGAATTCCATCGAGAAAGACCCTAGGGATACAAGTGACACCAAGGGAAAGAATTAAGAAGAATCAATTTGAATTCAAGAGAGTTAAGTTCATTACTTAAGAAGAATTCTAATAAATACTACAATAAGTAATGAATATTGACCTACAAATTAAAAGCGATCACTGTATGAGTTGTAAGTACTAACATCCACATTCATACGTTAAAATCCTAAGTTGATTTGATTGTGTGCGTTTAGATAAAATTAGTATAATTAAATAATTTAGATCATTAATTACAACTATTCTTTGTTTTTTTTATTAATTAGGAATTAGAAATAGTAAATTAAATTTTGAATAATAGTCTTTGTGGGAACGATAATTCGGACTCGTAGGTACATTATATCACTTGTTACGATATCGTACACTTACAATAAAAAACACACAACAAGAGCCAAATGATTGAAAAAATCTTAGGAAATGTCAAAAAGTGGTGGTTAAAAAGAACTTCGGAAACAAGATAAGAACAAGTTGGCTACCAATTAAACTTGTCTCCGTCCCTAATATTCTTAAATATCATTGAATGATCTGGATCATGGTATTGTCCTAACTAAAATAGAAATTTTATTTCTATTGTTTGTTTCCTGGTAAAATACGATTTTGATTGTTCTATGTATATACAGTGGTTTATTGTTTTCTATTTGAAATATGATTAGTTAGCCATGTCATATAAATAGGAACCTCCATGTCGTATTTTCTATATCTCGATATTTGAGATACTCATGGACTATCTTTGGGTGAGAATTGAGGATCCTTTATAGTCTCATCCAGTCCATTTTAATGTATATTATCACANTACTCATGAACTATCTTTGGGTGAGAATTGAGGATCCTTTATAGTCTCATCTGGTCCATTTTAATGTATATTATCACAAAAAGATTTAAAAGTCGCCGAAAGTTTGTATTTTGTTTACGTACTATGAGTTCCACATATTCTTCATTTGTTCGATAAGGTCTTGTTGGAGCTGAGAATGAATATCTTGCTTTTGCCATCTCGAAATTATTTTCTGAGTAACTCTCTTGGCTCTCGTAGAAGCTATTACCATCTCCAAAACATTGTATGAGTCGATGTATCGAATTGATTAAACACGTACAGCGCATAACTAGGAAGGAAATGGATCAAATATTGTGCAAATGAAGCTACCACATAGAAATATGAGTGGTTGATTTATAAACAAAAATAAAAGAAAATTGATAAAATTGAAAAGGAAGAAGCCAAGTAAAGAAAGTGAGGAAAAAGGGCGAACCATAATACTTATCGAAAAAAGTCAAGTAAAGAATAAATATACAGACTGTTGGACATGTATAAAGTGTCACACTCTTTATATTCATTAACTTTAAAAACGCATTTATAATGAAAAATATTCACTGAGTGGTGAAATTCAAAACTAATGACCCAATTGAGAGAAATTACAATTTAGTGAACTAAATTGCTTCAAATAATAATAATAATAGTGCTGAGGGGCCTTTTTTTTTTCCATACAACTCAGGATAATATGAAAACCAGAATTATTGTTGTTATCCCCCCATATCTAAGGTCCCAGCTCGGATGCCACGTAAGCAACAGGTCCACGTGGGGTCCAAATGCCAACTACAAGTAGTCAACGAGTCAAAGGAAACCCAATAGGCCAGACCCGCCAATGAAAACAAGTAGGCCGAAGTCCTCAACACAATACTCGAAGTTATCGCACAGTGTAATGAAGTCCAGCCTGAAGCACCTCATCAGAGACGAGGCTCAGGCTCATCTGAGGCCCCTCAACTCGTCCGAGGCTCATGAAGCCGACGCTGCTTCCTTGTAAAAGATTTGGGGATCATTGAAGTGATTGATGTAACGCTTGTAATAAAGGTGTCAGTGTATCAGCCTATGGTATATGGCGGCTGACCTCTTATCAATGTATTAATTGTATGAGTAGATAGTGATGCGAAGCTTTTGTTAGGGAGATGAAGCCACGTGGTTCCGATCCAACGGTCACCACGTCGGTCCAGACAGTATAAATAGGTCCTCATTGTAATAATAAGGGGGGATGAGAAAAAAGGAAAGATATTATCCTATATTGAGGTCGTACAACCGAATTCTTGAAATAAACATATGAACACTTTATCTATCCTTCCACATATTCTTGTTTACATTTACATAGATTAGTTTGAGTCTAATCGGACGATCGTTGTTAGTGCGATCATCTACGTTCCACCCGTCGGAGCTCGAACAATTTTGTCTCTCGCCGGAAAGTATCTCCCGCGTCCACGTCATCACTGCTACCATAATCAACCCGATAGGAACGCGTCAAAATCATACTTAACTTGGCCTGAGTGGGCCCAGCATCTGTTGATTCATTTTTAGGAGTCAACAAATTGGCGCCGCCTGTGAGAAACCATACATTTAACCACGAACACACGTAGGGAGAAAGCCAGGCCGCATTCGAAAGTTTGGAGTAAAGCAAGTCTTTATCCTTGAAAAAGGAGTTTCCTTGAAAAAAGGAGCTGAAAGGAACTCAGAACCCTTGAATAAAGGAAAGGTCCCGTACAAAAGTTATTGAGAGATGAGTTCAACCGATGAAAATGCCCCAAGAAGGACAAGGGAATACCCTGAAGAAGGGGAACCCTCACGAGATGCCCCAACTACTCGACCACAACCTCCAGCGCACAGGCGAGGATCCAGAGGTAGAAGCGGGGTCGTACACGTCTTACAAGGGAAATGGCCACCATAGCCGCCAACATGAGGAACATAACTCAGCAGAACATAGCCATGCAAGAGATGCAAACAAACATGCAAGGGTAAGAAGGGTATGCCCCTCCATATGCAGTCCCAGAAAACATCTTTCTCGAGGCACATGATATTATTAGGATGAGGAGGTCCAGAGTCAAATGGCTGGACATCCACACCTTGGAGTGAGGGCTTCACGAGGAAAAGAAGCCGAAATAGAAACATCGGCTAATTACGCCTCGAAAAGGCCATATGAGGCTCCATTCAATTTCCCTCCAAATTACGAACCTGAAAGCCGACCTCAGAGATCAGGAAGTGTTTTTGACAGGATAAGTTACGGGGTGCCTGAAAGTAGGCAGGATCGTTCATCTCAAATGCCTAGAAATAGGTCTGCTTACCCTCCACATCCAATGCCTAGAGATAGGCAGCAGAAATCTTAGCAACATGAAGGTCAATCGATGTGTTAAGAAGAGCCTCCCGTCTGCCCCCTAGAAATAGGCGGAAAAGGAGAAACCATGCTAGAAACGGAGTAGGAACTTCTCCACCACCGCTTCAATCCCAAAAATGGGAGAGAGATGATTCAGAAGGGCCACAGTGGTCCTGTGACCTCGATGATGACAATGAACATTCTCCCTTCTCAGAGGGCAGAAATGCTCCCACGTTGAACCACTTCACCCAAAAATCCCAAAGTACGATGGGAGAGATGATCCCGCGAAACACATGAACAACTACAAGACTAATACGAATTTGAAAGGGGCCACCCCACCAATGAAGTGCAGGGCTTTCCACTTAATGCTAAGTGGACGTGCCGCAGTCTGGTACACGAGGCTCCCTGAGGGGGTATCCGAAGTTGGCCAGACATGAAGAAGACGTTTTTGAAACGCTTCGCAACCAGCAAAGAAGGGGAGAAACCTATCCAACGACTTCAAGATATGCGACAGCAGCGGGGAGAGACACTAAAAAGCTTCTTGTCCCGTTTCATAGATGAAATGACATACTGCGTACAAGTCACAGATAAAGAGGCACTGACCGATTTAAGAGGATGATTAGACATGAACTCCCTCTTTTGGACAGATGTGCAAAACAAAGACCCCACCACTTACGATGCCCTATTGGAGATGATAAGGCGCGAGATCCTCAACGAAGAACTAAAGGATCATAAAAATAGGGCGAGTCGGGGCCTCCCACCTCCTCAAATGCAAAGAGGAAAGGGTACAACTTCTCACCTAATGGATCATCAGGCCCCCACTGAACCATGGACATGAGCTTGCTGCAGCAACGCTCAACGCAGTACCGACCTTAGCCTATGAGGAGATAAATCCTGGTGCTGGAACGCACCAACATCAACCTTACCCAATGCATCCGCAAAGGGGGCGAGATAAGGGGCGAGGTGCTGAACCTAGAAATAGGGACGAAGCACCCAACCACTGCTCATATCATCAATCACATGGACACAGTACGGAGAATTGTTGGGACGTGGCAAGAAATTCCCAAAACCAAAACTAGGTAAAAGGAAGGCGCTCCAGAGGAATGCTCCGTATAAGCCAAACATGCATCCTAGAAACAACGAGCAACGTCGGCCTAACAGGGACGACCCCATAAGAGGAAGAGAGAATGACACGAAAAGACACAGGGAGGGCCAGAGGTAAAGACGAAGCCCTCCACTTAACGGCGAACAGGAGCCCATCAGGGAGATTGATGCAATCATCGGAGGTCCTCATATAGGCGGAGAGTCCAGAAATTCTCAAAGGAACTATGTCAGGGAGGCAAGTAACCCAGCCATGACGAGCTATATAGTGAACCAATCATCGACTAAAAGATCCACTCCCCCAATCACTTTCACACAGGAGGATACAACGAGGGTTCATTATCCACACTGTAACGCCCTAGTGGTGAGGGCTGTCGTGGCCCGCAACGACCTGAAAAGGATGTTGGTGGATGATGGAAGCTTAGTCAAC